AGGAGAATGGAAATCTAATCTCTGAATCGGCTTGGAAAGTGATGATGTCTCAGTAGGTCCGTCAAGTAGTCCCATCTGCCCGAGTCAAAAGCTTTTTTAATATCTAACTTGAAGGGCAAGGTTGAAGATTTGTTTCGATGAAGACGATATGCCAAGTTGCAAGCATACATAAAATTATCATGAATGCTTCTTTTCTTGATAAATGCACTTTGCGTGTTGGAGACGAGCGCTAACATGTGGGGGCAAGATGAGTTGCCATCATCATCATGATGATCTTAGCAACCGCATGGATGAGATTAATGGGCCGAAAGTCTGAGATGTCGCCCGCCCCATATTTTTTGGATGAACGCAATGTTGGCCGAGTTTAGCCGGTGAAGGCTGGAAACATGGTGTCACGCCCCGAGACCAGGCCTAAGTGAGACAGCCGCCACACGTCTATAGACCAAAAGGCCTATAGTCACATAAGGCATGATTAAGCAGGCATAAACCATCAGTTGATTACAAAAACTCATATATTGACTATACAAATTCATTTCCGTTTACAAATGTCCAAAATTCATTAAATTCTCTAATCGTTTTCCACCCACTGGTCCAGCCTGTTCTTGAATGACCTCTTCCGGGTATACTTAAGTTACATCGTCTACATCTAAAAAATAGAGGAAGCAAGGCAAATACGACAAATCATACTTAGCAAGCAGATACTTCACTATTCAACAAGGAGAATAGTATGACGATGCAGATCGATAGATGAACTGAACAATGTAATAATTATTTGAACATGTTTCAAAGGGAATGAGCAAAATGAATGACATAGTCAGATTTAGTGGAAACATACAAGGAAAATATTGGCATCACATATGACCGCAAGCTTCCCAACCCCGAAGTCACATGGGGGAAATTTCATACTTTTATGATCTTAAGAGGGGTACTCCGATATCGACAGACTCAACTAGAACCATAAAGGTTCTAGAAGAGCAGAGCTCTTTAATCCCCCAAGAATCGACCACGGGACTTACTAGTGTCGATCGCTCCTACGGATCCGTCATCGACACGCTTACGAACAAGTGTCGTTCCCAACGGAGAACCCAGACAGTCCCGTACCTGAACTGTGACCAGTACAATACGTTTGCCGTCGTGACACTAATATAAATGGATAGGATGTGTGGTTGAATCGACAATAATATCACCGAATATTAGACAAGACAACACGCTCATGCCTTTACATGAGTTCCCCTCAACCTTTACATGAGTTCCCCTCAAACACACTGATTTCATCAACGAATGGATACAAGGACAACATGTCCCCCTCAGATGCAATAGAAGCCGGGAGTTGCATAATCTAATGGTCAAAGGAATATGTATTTGACATGAAGAAAGCAATAGCAATAAAACTGAACGATCAATATGCTAAGCTAACGGATGGGTCTTGTCCATCACATCATTCTCCTAATGATGTGATCCCGTTTATCAAATGACAACACATGTCTATGGTTAGGAAACTTAACCATCTTTGATTAACGAGCTAGTCTAGTAGAAGCTTACTAGGGACACGGTGTTTTGTCTACGTATCCACACATGTATCAAGTTTTCGGTTAATACAATTCTAGCATGAATAATAAACATTTATCATGATATAAGGAAATATAAAATAACAACTTCATTATTGCCTCTAGGGCATATTTCTTTCAGTTCGTAACCATCATCTCCAGCATTTGACATTGATAACTGCCTCCCTCCACTACTCTGCCCAAGATCGTAGCCACCCTCGCCTTCATGTGCATTGACCTCCTTCACGACAGGAAGCACTAAGGCAACAGGATTGCATCCTCTGCATTCACAACCTTGTAACCACCTTACCCACTTGGAGTCTCGCTCTATTGGCCTCAAATAAAAGTAAATTATTGAACTTGACCGTGTCCATAATGCATGAACTCCGACGGTGTGTGTTTCAGTATCTAAACTTGATGTAATCCATTCTTTTAACTGAATGACAGACCATGTTTGAGGTACACTCATTGGCACCTCTATGTGAGTAAATTTACTCATATCAGCTCCCATCTCAGTTGTTTGGACAATGCCAGGACCGTAGTAAAATATGAACTTCACTACATCGGACATCTCGGCTCACCTATTTTTTTTTTCAACGACAGACAAGTATTATGAAACAACTTAAAATATCCCCAGTACTAAATATTTGACATGTATATATATTACGGAATATTAACAGAGCAACTAAAAATATTCACATACCTACAAATATAGCACGAAAATTTGCCGAGCAACTACACATATTGAAATATTTAAATATTTGACATCTACATATATTATGGATATTACCGGAGCAACTCCAAATACTGACACCTAAATTTTTGACATCCACATATAGTACGGAATATTACCGGAGCAACATCAAATTTTCACACAACTAAATAGTTGACATCTAAATATATTTACGGATACTACCGGAGCAAATAACAACAATCACACACCTAATTTATTTCACATCAAAACATATTATCAAACACTACCAGAGCAACTACGAAAAATAAAATGAGTGTTGAAATATACCCTTGAAGCATGTGAGCGAACGACGAACGGTGGCCTTCAATCACCGGAACCGGAGCCGGAAACTCCACCAAACTGCCGGAACTTCACCTCCACCACCACCACCACACTGCCCCCACTTCACCACCACTACCTCTACCTCCACTGCCGCCACAACCTCCACCAATGTGCTAAAAAATGCTCCAACAAAATGCTCACCGCAACCACCACGAGCTACTCCATCATTAGATCGAGGTCAACCCGGCAATCCGACCATGGGTTCGTGCGCCCATGGGCACCCGACCCGAATGGGTAGGGTATGGATTGTCGACCTCGCCCATGAGTCTTACCCATGGGTAACCCGATTAGTCACGGGTAGGGTATGGGTTTAAGTTTGTGCCCGTGGGTTACCCGATGGGTCACCCGATTAATATAAATAATTAATAAACTATTTGTTTCCTGTTATATTTTTCTTTTTAATCTAAATACACTGCAGCAGTCACACAAACAGAGCAAGGCACAATCATTACGACCACAGCCATCATCGGGCCTATTCTGTATGTTATTCACACGTTTGGTATGGCCCATTTTCACCTTCAGCAAGTGGCCCATGCACAGAGCGCTGCACATATACATTCAGCCCATATAAGATGAAGCCTGTGTAGCGTGCACATGTCCAGCAAATAAAGGAGAGGCTGAACCTTTAGTCCCACCTCGCCTGTTCGAGAGCATGGGTGAGGGAGCTCCGTCTATAAAATGGAGACCGCTGGTTTCATGTCGCTAGGAGTGAACGATGCATGCACAATACAACGTCTATGTCTTCTTTAAAAGAAAAAATTAATTTTGTCAGACCCAATGGGTGCCAGATGCGGTCGGGTCGCCTGATGGGTTCGGGCGTGGGTCTAAGTTCAGACCACGGGTAGGGACGTAGGGTCGTGCGTGGGTATAGGTTGGACCCGACAGAGGGATCAGGCATGGGTCTGGTAGAGGTTGAGATCGAGATCTTCCTTGGCTCCCCAACTACGTACAACCCATTCACGATGTTAAATCTGCAAAAAACCGGCCCATTTTGGTATACAAATTGGAGGCTGGAGGCATTTCTTGCAAGAAAGAGGAGAAAGAAAGAACAGAGAGAAGGAACTGTTGCGTGTCGAGAGAGGAGAAGGAGCCAGCCGTGGTGGGCGCCTCGTAACAGACCGCGCCAACAGCTCCCCTCGCTACATGGCCTGGCGAATAGGCGGGTGGCACGTGGCAGATGGATCAGCTGTTGGCTGACTAGACCCAGTCGGCCTGCTATGGGCTGACTAGGCCCAGTCGGCCAGTAGCGGGCCGACTGCGTATTATTTTTAAAAATGTTGTATTCTGTGTAATATTTATGAAAATTAAACAAAAAGTGAATTATTTTTAAAAAAAGTAGCCAGATAAACAACTTGGGCTGCACGATCTATTGTTTTTTAAGTTCAAAAGAAAAAAGAAGTGTTCATGCTCAGATTCAGTCCAATAGCATGCATTCCAGTATGTCTGAACAATATGCTTGCAGTAATAACACAAGAACTCTGTGCTTGGAATCACAATCAACCAAAGGCGAGCCAATAGTTCATTAACCAAGCAAGATTATTTCAGCCCATCCAAATTTTGGCCAAGTCACACTGAACATAGAAATAAAAGGAGAAACAAAAACAGAAGAGGGATATCTTCGCTTCTTCAGTCGGAAGCCAGGACAAACAGTTACTCTACATGGAATTATATAGAGTGCACTTGTTATCTTCTACAACGAGGGGCAGTCCAAAAGAAACAGCATAGACAAAGGCTGAAACCTTTTAACTAGGGAAGAACTCCCAGGAAAAATGAAATAGGGAAGCAGAACTAGAGGAGTGCAATCTCTATATATGAGATCAGGCAAAGTAAAACTCCACATAGAGTAAGCCCTTGCAGAACATAACAAAACTGAACCAAGCAGAAATCCCTCTTTTGACATTCATGCATTTCAGCATAAAGAAAACATAGGGGTCACCCAATCAATCTCATTCTACTTGCAATATGGATGTAAATAGATAGTTCTCTTTCGAACAAAGTGGCCACATGCACGGCGTTCAATTTCATTTAAGCCCTAGAAGAGAAATTAGAGTTCGATACAGACCGCACAGAACATGAAACTGCAGAGTCAACAACAAACATAGATAGCAGGTTTTTCTTTTTCTTCTACTAAGGCACACATCCAACCATATATACTCCCTCCGTTCCTAAATATAAGTCTTTTTAGGCATTTTAAATGGACTACGACATACGGATGTATGTAGACATATTTTAGAGTGTAGATTCACTCATTTTACTTCGTATGTAGTCACTTGTTGAAATCTCTAGAAAGACTTATATTTGGAAACGGAGGGAGTAGAAAACTAATCTGAGACGTGCATAGATAATTAATTTAGATGTGGTCATCATGCGTGACACTACTAAAGTGCCATGACAATATCCTTGGCAGCTTTCATGTTAGGCGGCAGGAGCCTAGCAATCAACTCCTTTAGGGCAGATGGGCAACTGCTTTTGAGATGCTTGTAGCCATCACTTGTCATCACCGCCTCCAAATTGGAAGGAGAAGCAAGGAACTGTAGACAGGCTTCCTTGAGTCCATTGCAGCAATGCTGCTCAGCTAACGCCAAACTGGTCGCCGCCATGTCGGCATCAATGTGGCTGCATAACTTGTGCTTGCATATCAGTTTCAGCCTCTCGATATTGTACCTGTCTGCTGCCACGAGTAGGTGGCTAGCCATCATCACATCTAGATGTGCTTCACCTTGGTTGCTAGCCATTTGAAGATCAGGCAGTGAGTCGGTGTATATGAAATGGAGCAAACACTTGAACACATTAGCTTCCATGTCATGGATTTCAATTGGACCGCCGGCTTTCTCCTTCATGGCTCCAAGGAGCTCCGCCCTGAAAACAGGTGACCTCGCGGCGAGAATGAGCCTATGGGCCGAGAACATCCGTCCGGCGACATGAAAGGTCACGTCCACTCCATCCATGCTCTCTAGCAGGTCAGCGAAATGCAGGTGCAGGTTGCTTGGAGGAACCACAACAAAACGGTCATCCATGGTCTCTTCATTGAGAGTAATGATGCGGAGCATCCCACGTTCATCCCCATGTACACTCCGACTACTCTCCAAGCCCTAAGAGAACATAAGACGAGACCTCATCTATACACCATTGGACACAAGGTGAACTCGCTCCTCTTCGAACCATCACTTTCCATACGTGAGACATGGCTACTACTTCAAACATCTGTGCTATGCATGACCAGGAACCAAGAGGAAGACCATGGACAAGAAGGCGAGGACACCAAGCGGGAGGAACGAGAAGAAGAGCTACAGAAGAAGCTCCAGCCATCGGACGACCGGTCGGGACCGGACGTCCAACACCTGAAGACCCACCGGACGACCGGCCCTAACCGGACGACCGACAATCCCGCACCCGAGCCAAACGAGCGGACGTCCGACAAGTCCCGGACGTTCGACACACTCTAGCGACCGGACGTCCGACCGTCTCCGGAAATCCGACGCCATGTCAACCGAGCCAAAACGCCGAACGTCCGACAAGTACCGGACGACCGGACCCTCGTGAGCCACCGGACGTCCGGTACCCGTCGGACGTCCGATGCATGTCTGTGCACAGTGTATCGGGCCAAGCCCATGTATCCCTTCGCCCTCACTTATCCCTTCGTGGCCCTAGACTATATATACTCCTCCACCTCCACCATTTGAGGGTTAGTGTTGGTTTAGCTCATACTTAGAGATAGAGTTTCGCTCATCCACATCGGATCTACTCCTCGTGAGAGACCGCGGCCTCTTCGGAGAAGATCCCCTTGGATTCAAGACCTCCTTTTGGAGAAGAACATCAAGACCTCCTCACGGAGAAGACCGGCTACCTTTGTATCGTCCGTTGTTGACTTTCGATCTTGTATCTCACCTTTGTGTTCATCGATCTAGCGCATGTGTGATCTATTCTTGTTGGTTGAGTGATTCTCTCGTGTTTTCTCTTGTGTTTTCCCTCGTTTTCCCCTCGTGTTCTTCGCGTTCTTGGACGGGATCCGCCCCTTTCATGAAAGATCGGCCCCTAGGGTTCCTACCCTACATCATCTTGGTATCATGAGCCACGTTGATCACGATTTCAGAGCCTCCCCCACCATTTTCTAGCCTTCTTTTGCTTGATTTCGTCCTAAATTTGAAAATTTCCACCAAAAATAGCCCCAATTTTTTTTTTGTGATTTGTTGGTTTGATGATGTTTTGTTGATTTTGATCCATGGATTTGCTTGGTTTCAAGTGGATCTAGCATCTCCCCAAGGTTCCCCATCTTTCATTCACGAAATCTCATCAATTTTGACCCCAAAATCCCCAAATTCCGCCCAAAATCGCGCCCCAAATCTCGGATCTGGAGTTGACCCCGATACACCGGACGACCGTCACCTTACCGGACGTCCGGAGCCGCAGGAACCACCGGACGTCCGACCTTACCGGATGACCGGAACCCCCTAACCCGAGTAGAATCAGCGGATTTCTGACCCATCCGGACGTCCGGCGACCGGACGACCATTTTTTCCGGACATCCGCTACCTGTAGATATCAACTTCGGCTGATTTTTGTTTCGGCCATAACTAATTCATCTGGAGTCCGATTTTCGCGTTCTTTAGCTCGTTGGAAAGATCTTGACATCCCCCTTCCCACAAAAATACTACCATCACCATTTGACTCCATCAAATTTTGACAATTTTGGCATCTTTGCCTAGGGCTTCCACCACATCATCCGCTACACTGGCACCGACTTCCGCAACCTAACCCATATTGATCCCCAACGCATATGTGGTTTCTTGAGGAGTGATTTGAGTCTCCTAAGGTGTCTAGGCTACTTAGGGACGGTTACTTCTTCATCAACCACCACCACCACTTCCGCATAGGCTTGACCACTATACACTTCCGCCCCCCCCCCAACTTAACCCAATTTTGTTTGTGTTGTGAGTTGTGTCTCCTAAGGTGTTTCGGCTACTTAGGGACCGTGCTTTCAACTCCGACACCGTGTATAGTCCACCACCTTCCCTCCACTTCCGCATTGCGTACTTCACAACCCATCATTGCATTTCCACAATTCCTTTGAGCTTCCGCAACCACCACCGCGTTCCGCTACCACCATTTGACTTTTGTCCTTGTGATTTTGAGTTGTGGTTTTTCCATTTCCTAAGGTGTTTCGGCTACTTAGGGACGAGTCTCCATCATCTTGGTATCTCCATCAAGATCACCGCAACTCATCATCGACACGGACGGTAACCTCCATATCATCTTGGTATCGTGGTATCCCTCCATTGTATATTCCCTTGCCATTGCATTGATAACCCCTAGTCCATTTTGCGTTACTTGCCTATCGAGACTAGCCATTTGAGTATTGTCGGCAACGTTACTTGTGCACATTAGTGATCTACACCATACATTGCATACATACCATATCATATTGGTATCATATCATCTCGTGTGCCTCATGTTTGTTCCCGCATATACACAATTACTATCTTAGTTTGTGCATTTCACAAAGTGGATATATATATATATATATATATATATATATATATATATATATAAATAATAAGCTTTTAAGCAAAAGAGAAAGAGCAAAGAAGCTTGTAAGCAATAGCCATAGCATCCACCACATTGCATAAGATTGTCATATCCGATCATCTTGGATCAAACACCGGGAACCATACATACATAGCATACTTGGGATAGAAGTTGTTACATTTTGCATCTTATAGGTTGTGCACAAGTGTCGTATCCGCCTAGTGAGCAATCGTGCTAGCGTCTCTCTTGAGTTGTGCAACACGAGCGTTTTCCGTGGATTCCACATTTTGTGCTCATCCTTGGTTGCACGACCCCATTTATCTATCCGTGTGTGTGTTTCCGTGTGCCACATATTGCTATTGGTCTACTTGTTACACTTGCGAATTTGTGAATCTCTTTCAACATTATTGACTCTTGCTAACATTTTACATTAAATTTTTGTGCCACTATCCTCACCGAGCTCCACCATAAGCCTTACTTGTGTAGGTGTGAGAAACCGACAAGAATTGGTACCAATTGTGCTATTTCCTTGTCCATATTGGGGTGATCATTGATCCACTTTCAACTTCGGTCAAGGTACATTTGATATTCGTTCTTCTCTTTCTCCACTCATATTGGCTCGAATCTTGTGATGGATAGGCAAGGCATTTCATCTCCGGTCTTCCACAACAACGACAGCGTGAACAACTACATCACCAAAGCGTCAATCTTCGATCTACAACGACAAATGCAAGGCGCACAATCAAGACTACGAGAGCGCATCGAGAACCTCTCCATCGACATTCGTCACTCCGAAGCGAGGAAAAGGGACTACATCGACAACAAGCTTTCCGCATAAAAGGAGGAGCAAGATGCAAGGATGGAGGATATTCGAGCCTTGATCAAGTCTATTTCCCCTTCGTCATCTTCAAGGCGGCGGCAAGCACATCGATCCTCTTCGGAGCGCCCAAGCGACACAAGCACAAGACGTCCACGTCCACATCTCCATGGCGACCACCATCACGTTCGTGATCCACCTCGTCACGAAGGGCAAGTCACCTCCAAGCAACATGTGCACGACGACGACGAACGACATCTACTACAAGCTCAAGTGCGACAACGCCACCATCAACATGAAGATGCTCGAGATGCGCCTTCCTACAAGTCACAACAAGCCCTACTTCACGCCAAGTCCAAACTTCATGAGCACAAGAAAAGACCGCGAGACGAGCACCACCAAGACGGAGCTACGGCTACATCAACCACTTCGGCATCTTCGCCAAGTGCTATCAAGGCATCTTCGCCTTTGGACGTACGACATCTTCTCCTACTTCCCGTGAGTTCGCCTACATCGACATCTTCAACTACAAGGCGACCAACTACGCGTGAGGGAGACACTTACATCTTCGGAAGCCCCTCAAGGAAGATGGCCGAGCATGGGAATTTCCCTTCGGTCATGGAGACGAGCTACGAGGTGCCACATCATTTGGGCCTCCAAAAACAAGACGGCGACAAGAAGGTCGAGCAAGGGCCATCCTCTTCGACCACGGCGACGAGCACGAACCTCTTCAACAACATGAAGACGACGCCAATATTGGACTCATACTCCGAGTCAAGCTACGAGACCGCTCATGAGACCTTATCTTTGGTCTTCGAGGAGAGTGATGATGTGCCATCTTTGGCCTTCATCCACGGCTACGACCACGACATGATTGAGCATGGAGACATTTGCACCGACATCTCTCCGACAACGACATGTGACGAGATGCCCCAATTGCCATGTGAGGAGAGCCACCACCACATGAGTGACATGAGTGACTCCACCACACGTGACATTGAGAGCATTTCCTATGAGAGGATGAGTGTGACACCACTAGCCCCACACTTGAGAGCATGCCACACATCCTATGTGAGGTTGAGAGCCATTTGAGTGACTCCACTAACCATATGAGTGAGAGCATCCGAGAGGGAGTGAGTGAGCCACAAGACTTAGTGAGCGAGGTAGTTGACACGGAATGTGAGGCCACTTTGATTTCTAACTACTTAACCTCTACTCCTAGTGTGTTTTCTTCTTTGGTGCTAGGTCTCCTACATGACGACGCGCCTATCCTCGACAAGTCCATACCTCCAATGGAGATGACGATGGCCATGGTGGACAATGATGCACCCCCCACATGGTTCCATCAAGATGAAGATGACCACGACTCGGTCTTTGACACCTCACCTACAACACATGAGCGATGCTCCAAAGGTAACATAGGTGATGTTGCTTCTCTTGTCCCACTAGTGGACTATTTCACGAATGATTGCTTGCATGCTGTTGACACACCTATACCCATGCTTCATGCTAGTGCAGCTTCTTCATGTCATGACTCATCTATTTATGATAAATATGATGATGAGCATGTTGATTTGCCTAGTTGTGATGCTATGCTCCATAGGA